TCCTCAGCGACCAGCACACGGATCAGCTCTAGGCATGACGAAGCGGATATCGTCCTCTTTTGGAAGACCAAACAAAGTAGTTTAGCTTTCACAACGAAACACACAGCGTCTCGACATGGCGGCAGCAATACTACAGCGAGAATCAAAGTTACGCCTTCTTTCTTTGCGTGAACATTTAGGCGGCGTTATGCAAATCTCCCACATCGTGACGTAGACATGTGGGGGCGTGTTAGAACGAGCCGTTTTAGGTAGGTGTGGTTGACTCTTAACTTTCATAAAGAATATCTCTTTGGATTTGAGACTTTATTCTTTGCAACTTTACAGATCTTCTTTATGCACCAAGAGCTTGTAACACTCCAAAGAGAAAGGAAAAATTGAAATCTCATCATATGACCCCTTTAAATATCTTAGCTCTCTCCTCATAACTAAAATCTTATCTGTGTGTGTTGTAGACACATGCTGCAATGCTTAACAGTGTGATCCCCGAAACAGTACTGTCACTGGAGCCTAAAAATGCTGAAGCCATCAAGAGTGTGTGGAAAGACCAAGGTCTGCAGAAATGCTTTGAACGCAGGAGAGAGTTCCAGTTGTCGGACTCGACCAAATAGTAAGTGCACTGAAGATTTAATTTTTCACACTGACAAAAAGTACTATTGTATTATACTGTATACCACATTTTCAATAGGGCAGCATGATAATGCAATGTGTGTGTGTTCTTTGTATTTTTTTGGAATAAGTTAATATGGTTGTATCTGAGTATGGTAATCATTGCATACTATGGCATGTGAATATTACTGTACTGTACTGTACTGTTTATAGCCTATGTTACATGCTATGTATGTATTATTTAGTTCTGCAACCAACCAACCCCTCCCTCCGGCCCCCCCTTCTTTTGGTTCGTTCCGCGATCAATGGTATAGGTTACCATACTTGGCCTACACGTCATGTTGTCACTTAAATGAATAAATAAATAATATATATATATTTCGGTTTTTAAGTCTAGACTTAAAACGCATCTTTATTCTATGGCCTTTCCTGATTTTTAATTTATGGATTAGTATTGTTATCTTGGATTTAAATTTGTATTTTATTTTATACTTTACTGTATTTTATGATTGTTTTGTACAGCACTTTGGTCAGTGTAAGCTGAATTTAAATGTGCTCTATAAATAAAATTTACTTACTAAGTAGCAGCCAGGCACTGCTAATCAAATGCCTTTGATTATCTGATCATCAGCAAGTGTGTGCACCTCTGTAAAAGTAGAAGTTTTGGCGGTTTGCTGGTCTGGAGCCTTCAGGTGTGTGTTAACTCAATTCCAAGGAGTTAAGACATCAGCAATAATCTTAAAGAAGCAATTGTTGCTGCCATCAATCTGGGAAGAGTGACATGGCCATTTCCCGACAATCTGAAGTCCATCATTCTACAGTGAGGAAGATTGTTCACAAGTGGAAGACATTCAAAACAGACACCAATCCTCCCAGGAGTGTACTTCTCAGCAAATTCACCCCAAGATCAGACCGTGTAATGCTTAGAGAATTGGCGGCCACCCAAGAACTACACCGCAGACTCTACGGGCCTCAGCAAACATGTGAAATGATAAAGTTCATTACACAATTAGTACAATTAAAAAAATATGGGACAAGTATGGCATGTTTGGAAGTAAATATGTACTTATATACATGCATGTGTTTGCATTTATGTATACATAATAAATAAACACAAAGTACACACTCATATATTATATATTATATAAACAAAAACTTTTATTTTCGGTGAGATTAATCGCGATTAATCGTTTGACAGCCCTAATATATATATATATATTTATATATATATAAAACTTTAAATTCAAATAACGGTTTTCCTATGAATTAACTAGAACACAGTCCATTTCTACTCTGCCTTTCCTTGGGACATGCAGGGATTTTCCCTGCTTTACATACTTTTGGCCAATAAACTCAGTGATATCAGCGTTGGTTGCCATGCAACAAAGAGGCCTGTTCTACTTGGGGTGTTACGCATTCCGGGGGGAAGGGTTCATGGGTCCTCTTATGGCTTGTTAACTGAGGTTACAGAGTATTTGTTATATAAAAAGAGAATATATAGTGTGTTGGATTGGTCCAGACGCTACAATATATATTTAATATACTTTACTTTTTATTTCTGTGATGCAGCACTGAATTTTCATCTGCCATTACTCCAATCTTCAGTGTCACATAATTCTTCATAAATCATTCTAATATGCTGATTTATTATCAGTGTTGAAACTGCTGTGCTAATCATTTTTTGGAACATGTGATACTTTTTTCTTTGATTCTTTGATAAATAAAAACTGGTGTGTGGTTACATCACCACACACCAGCTACAGGTGGAGAGGAGAGAGTCATAGAGCCAATCAAGTGGTTGGGGATTATTAGGAGGCCATGATTGACAAGGGCCAGGGGGGCAATTTGGCCAGGACACCGGGGTTACACCCCTATTCTTTACGAGAAGTGCCATGGGATTTTTAATGGCCACAGAGAGTCAGGACCTCAGTTTAACGTCTCATCTGAAAGACGGTGGTTTTTGACAGTATAGTGTCCCCATCACTACACTGGGGTGTTAGGACCCACACAGACCACAGGGTGAGCACCCCCTGCTGGCCTCACTAACACCTCTTCCATCAGCAACCTATAGTTTTCCCAGGAGGTCTCCCATCCAGGTACTGACCAGGCTCAACCCTGCTTAGCTTCAGTGGGCGACCAGTCTTGGGCTGCAGGGTGATATGGCTGTGGCTGTAGTAGTGTATATTGTAACACAAAATTTCTATTTTGAATAAATGGTGTGCTTTTTAACTTTTTACTTATCAAAGAATCCTGAAAAAAGTATCACAGGTCCCAAAAAATGTTAAGCAGCACAATTGTTTCCAACATTGATTATATTTCAACATATTAGAATGATTATTGAAGGATCATGTGACACTAAAGACTGGAGTAATGATGCTGAAAATTCAGCTTTGCTTTACAGGAATAAATTATATTTTAAAGTATAATAAAATTGTTCTTTTAAATTGCAATAATATTTCACAAAATTACTTTTTTTGTCTATTTTTTGATACAGCCATGACGAGCATTAGAAACGTCTTTCAAAAAAAACATTACAAACCTTACAGATCCCAAACTTTTGAATGACAATGTGTGTATACAGTATATAGAAATTTTATTACCAACTTATACTGTCACTGTGTAATAGTACTTTTTTTAAGAGCTCTACTTTCAATTTAGAAGTAAACTGTAAATTAGAAGAAAAATCAGACCTTAGTGCAAATCCCTGCTCATTGGTTTGATTCAGGGAATTCATGAACTGAGAAATGTATGCAACAGAAGACTCTTTTTACCTCAGCACACAATCAAGTGTTTTACTACAGAAAATACAAATATTTATGACATATTGCATGATATATTAATTAAAAATATGTATAACTTTATCATATGAAATTGAAATTTGAAACTTTATTTTGTGTTTGGTGAATTTTGGTGGCCACTTAGGGTTTTGGACAAATAACTAAAAAGGAATTTTCGTGGTTTCTCAAAGTCTGTTTTATTTATTTTTTCTGTTTACTAGTTACCTCGATGACATTGACAGAATATCTGCATCCTTTTACTTGCCGACTGTTCAGGATATTCTGAGAGTCCGAATTCCAACCACAGGCATCATTGAGTACATCTTTGACCTCCAGACAGTCATATTCAGGTAACTCTTAATTATGCTGTATGGTGGTGTGAAGATGGATGACTGACTGTGACCCATTTTATAATTCAAAACCTCTTCTTTTTGTAGAATGGTTGATGTTGGAGGCCAAAAGTCAGAAAGACGGAAGTGGATCCATTGTTTTGAAAACGTTACTTCCATCATCTTTCTGGTGGCTCTGAGCGAGTACGACCAGGCCCTATATGAGTGTGCAAATGAGGTTAGTCACTTCCTTGTATTGTCTTAGTAGCTTTTCTGGGTTATTGAGATTTAGCATCATTACATCATAGATGATGAAGTTGTTCATTCTGTTGATGTGATTTTATACCTCCCCAGAACCGCATGGAGGAGAGTAAGGCACTTTTTAAGACAATCGTCTCCTACCCCTGGTTCCAGGAGTCCTCTATCATCCTCTTCCTCAATAAAACAGATATCCTGAAGGAGAAGATATCAAAGTCACATCTTGCAGACTATTTTCCACAATACAAAGGTTGGAGTGCCAAAACCGCAGCTTAAGCATTTTTGTCTTGTTTTTCATTGAAACAACATACATTTACATGAGAAGCAACACAGCATAAGGCTTGTTTTCATAGATAATTTGTCTTAAAAACTGGCAGATTTATCAATTGTTTCAGGTATAAAAATGTTAAAAACTGAAACAGTTAGTACAGTGAGACAGTGCTATTGTATGAAAAAGCCACACCCTCTGACTAATTGTATTTTATGCTGTTTATTGATTAAAAAATATTAATACATGTCATTTGTACAAGTCATTATAATGAATACCTGTATATATTTTACAAACCCATAAGACTTCGGTTCATCACAAATTAAAACGTTTAATATTCTTTCATAATTTTTGTCCATCCATTAAAATCTACCCAACCAAAAGTTTCATACGTCAAAAAAAAAAAAAAAAAAATGCAGTTAGTAGTTTCTCCCCAACACTGCTAAAGTGTTTTTTGCTAACTACTGAACTCCACTGAAATTATTAAATCTATGTTATCTGCTCATTCCACAGGCCCTAAAAATGACGCAGATGCTGCAATGAAGTTCATCTTGAGTATGTATGAGGAGCAGAACTCAGACACACATAAACGCATCTATGCACATTCCACCTGTGCAACCGACACTGAAAATATCCGCTTTGTTTTTGAAGCAGTGAAGGACACCATTCTGCGGAACAACCTATCCGACTTTAACTTGGGTTAAATGACAAAAGTACTTTTCCATATATGGCTACACTGACCTCTGATTCAGTGAAAATATTAATGTGATCTCTGTGTGTGAGTACTGGGATTATGGCAAAGTGCATTCTGTGAACTTAGCATGTAGCCTACCTGCATTGGCGGATATTAAAAGGATTGTCCACCCAAAAAGAAATGTCTAATTTTGCGTTTTGCAGAAGAGAGAAAGTCATACCGGTTTGGAAAAATATGAGGGTGAGTAAATGATAGCAGCATTTTCATTTTGGGGTGAACTGTCCATTTAGCTTTGTTATTAGGGACATTATTTATCCTCTGGAATGGATTTTCAGGGGCTTTTTCTCCTTCATGAGGGCATTTTTCAAGATTTGAATGAAATATGAATTAAGACAGGCTGGCATAAAAGACAGACTTTGAATCCATGCAAATCAATTGTAGCCACTGTCTTTGCTATTCAAATAGTCTCTCCAACACTGACGTGGATACAAGAATGATACTTCAGTACAGATAGTTTCAAGTCTTTACACTCTCAAAATGACATGTTTGTAGATATTTACTGTATGTACAGTTACAATTTCTAGTGTGACTACTGTATGGAAAGTCACAGCTTCTTGTGTGATTCTTTAGGTAGAAGCTAAATTGACGTGTGACACTTTAGCATGTCATTAAAACGTTATTTATTTTTGCAGCAGATGCAATACAGTTGTGTGTTTAGTGAGTCAAAATAAAACAGACTGCATATCAAATGCATTTTAACATTTAATTCTGTCAAGCAGTGATTTATTTTTTCATATACGTGCCAAAACATGCAATTCCACTTTTTGAAAAGCATTTTTAAAAACTGAAATTTGACTGAAAATTGACAGAAAAAAAATACAATTTTGTTGCATCAATACATCACAAACATCATAAGATAAAAGTTCGGAATATATATATACTGTATGTATATTTTTTGTGCTACTTTTACATCCTTACTAAAGAAAATCTTATCAGTGAGTTTTTAAAAAAAAAATTTTTTTAATTTTTTTTTGTCAATTGCTTTGATCTTCTGTGATCACATGGCAACTCAGCTGGTGTTAACGCAGAACTTCTTGTATTATTTATACATTGTTAGTAACAAAAGTGGACAAAAGAAATAATGTAGGAAATAGATTCTGGGTACGCTAGATAAAAAGCCTAGTGGAGACACCAGAAAGATTCCTTTCTTTTTCTACCAGAAGTCTGTTCATGTGCATAATGTTAATGTTTTCTATATTAAGTCCTAAAATTTTTGTATGCAATTATGATTATATGATTTTAACTGAAAAAAAGAAGAAGATTTAAATGTGTGTATGTGTGTGTTTGAGCACTGAAATTGTTCGACAGGGCTAATGAGTGAATCTGTAACTCCAGTTGTGATTTATAAATTTACACTTAGTTATGTCAGGTGTGGCACAGTTGCTGTAGCAATGAACATTGGACCAAACACTTTCTGAGTAAGAGGTCAAAGAGCACCTCCCATTGCTTCCTTGCAACAGAAACTTGCAACAGAAAGCGGGTGAGTAGCTCAACACACAACACTGTTTTCGGTTCTCTCAACACTGTGGAGATCTTAAATCATAGAACATGACAAATCGTAATAGAGCAGGAAACAACAGAGCTTTCAGTATATTTTATCTTGTGGTTTAGGTGTAATCTCTTTTATGGACACATTGACGGGGCAGATTCAAAGCAGTGAATTTTTATGGGTGATCAGGCAAATGATCACCTTCCAGCACAAAGCTCTGTTTACAGTATAAAGCATAGTGACCACACTATAGGCTATGCAATTTGAGTATGAATGGTTATGACCTCATTTTAATTTAGATATTTAAAATATATTGTTTAATGACACTGTGGTACTGTAGAACTGCGGAAAAGCTAACAGTAGTGGAAAACATGAAATGGAAAGCATCATAATATACATTTTCCCTTATATTTCTTGATTTACATTAACCTTACCGTGTGAGACCCTTTTTTTATGGATGGGCGCTTTTTATTTAACTTATTTTGGATAGATGCATGCAACACCCGCTGAGTGGCATTAAGCTTGAAAGATCAAAGACCATTTTTTATATAACTCTGAAAGAAGAAAGTCATACACACCTAGGATGACTTGAGGGTGAGTAATTTGTGGGCTAATTTTCATTTTTGGGTGAACTAACCTTTTAAGTGCATCTACTCTGCTTGAAGCTCATTTGAAAAAGCCTTTTGTCTGTGAGTCCTTGTTTTGTAGCTCTAATTTTAAATCTGTAAAACCTGTAAAGTTCAACAGCATAATATATTCTTATTCTTATTCTCTTATCCATTATTCTCTTATCCATTAATCTCTTATCCATAATTTATTATTATTATTATTGCTATTTTAAATTATTTGTTTGTAAAGCACATTCAGAGTATTTGTTAAATCTAGCTAACAAAATATATATTGTGTGTTTGAGTGGTCCAGACGCTACATAACTGTAGTCTATGTGAATTGTGAAAGTAATGAAAGAACTCCATAACAATAATAATAATGATGATGATGTTGTTGTTGGTTGTTGTTATTGCACATTTGACTAGAAGTCTATGTGAAAGTGAAAATGTAAAATAATGTTTATAATAATAATTGTATTATTATGTTATATATTAAATATTATTATAATTTTTATTATTGCTATTTTGTAATTATTTGTTTGTAAAATACATTTAACTAGAAGTCTATATGAAAGTACTGAAAGTACTCCATTTACAGTATAATAATAATAATATGAAGAAGGAAGAATTTTAATATTCCCTGACATGAGATTTGAGTGCAGTGATGATGATGATGATGATGATGACGACGGTGGCTATAAATTTGATTCTCATAGTTCCCCTTCTGGCGATGAGGGGATGGACCAGACTCATGAACACAAGATGAGTTTTGAGGGGGCAGAGGGTAGACCAGGTGAGACTGAAAAACACTGACACTCTAGAATATGCCTCAAAATATCACAAGACGATTGAATACCTTTACAAAGACTACTTCAAACTGACAGAACAGTGAAGCTGTTATGAATCCGAGGTATAAAGTAACATTCTCTTCTTCTACACATTCTTATTAGGCTTAACATGATTTAGTCAAGTTTGGGCACATTCCTGAAACTGTCAATCCTGGAACAATATTCAAATAAACCATTCTAAAATAGCATGACAAACAGATGCATCATTTTCTAAATGTTTATTGATTGTCTGTTGAATCCACTAGCTCCACCCACCTCCCTGCCCCTGCAGGGCCAAGGGGGCGTGGCCTCTCAGAGGAAGAAGCTGTCGGCTCCTCGTATAAGTCTATCGTTAGACCAAAGTGAGGATGACCTGTTCGACACACCAGATGACCTGGACATCAATGTGGATGATCTGGACACCCCTGACGAAGCAGATTATACTGACCATGAAATAGACTGGGAAGGTAGGACATAAAAACTTGTAAACAATTGTTTAATATAAAAAAGAGATTTATTATTTATTAAGAGATTTATACATTTTTTTCAGAGCCTCAAGCATCCCAGAGTGATTCTGTTAAAGAAACAGTTGAGCCCATTCCCACATACAGTGCTCAGGAGGAGCGGCAGGATTCCAAACTCTGGAGAACCGTCATCATTGGAGAGCAAGAACACCGCATCAACATGAAGAGCATTGAACCTTACCAAAAAGTCATATCCCATGGAGGTATGTTAAAAGAATATTTCAAAGAAAATGTAAAATAATTTTTTGGGTTAAATGTAAAGTAAAAAGACTGGTTCACACTAGGGCTGGGCAAAAAAATTGATTTTTCGATTAATCGTTTTTTAAAATGACGTCGATTCGATATCGATTCTCAAAAGCCGCGAATCGATCTTTTCCGGGATTTATTTCAGCACACATTTAAAACAAGATCTGATTAACGTGAATCTTATCATTAGTCTTCTCCACTAGATGTCACTCTTATTTACCTTGCGCGATATTACAACAGAAAGCCTGTCATTCATTCAGCACTTATCATGGCCATACGCGTGATTCTCAATGCTCAGGTGAAATGCTATAATAATACTATAAATCTGCGGAAGCATTTGACATCACACATAAGGCGCCATGATTTCCGCAATGAATGAATGGCGGATGGCGCGGCGCACTGTTTTGTACACATACTAAAGCGCGGATGACGCTCGCGGTGTATTCAGCTTCTGCCGTCTCACTATATGATGATATGAACACGAATGTCATCTCATTTTTAAAGGAATAATCACATCTGTTTTCTTTTTAATTTTAACAGTAAACCTCTGTTGTGCAGCACTTTGTTTGCCAAAAAATAAAAGGGTTTAATTTTCATTTGATTAGGATAAATTAAATTAATGTTTTATGCCTTCATCTGATTACCAGAAAAATTAAGAACATTTTCTAGGGCCCTATTATTGTTTAAAAAAGGACCCATACAAAAAATATAGGTTTAAAATACAGGCATGTGGTTCTTAATTTCTTTTTATTAATCCACCATGTGTAAACTGATGTTTACTGTTAATTTTTTAGAAATATCAATAGCATTTGTATTAAAACTATATTCACTGAATGTAATAAAAAAATCGAGAATCAAATAGAATCGGGACATCTGAATCGATACCCAGCCCTAGTTCACACAGAGACTCTTTTCTTATTGTGCAAAGACATGCGTAGAAATGCATGTATGTTCCTACAATGGAAGTTTATGGGGCAACTACAATGGAGTATTTGTGAAGCTCCTATGTTGTTGAGGGACTTACATGGACCTTTAAATAAAATGTTTGATATTTGAGCTGTAATGCCTTAATCGTCCACTTGTGGATTGTTTGCACAGAAAAGATTGGTAGGTGATTTGGTTACACTTTATTTTACAGTATGTGCACTTGCAGTGTACTTAGCCAAGAAAGTACCGGCTAGTACATAGTACCTATATGGGTTCAGTTTAGGTTTAGGGGTAGGTTCAGGGTTAGTTATTACCTAGTCAGGATCCTAGTTATTACCCAGTTATTGCAATCGCTACATA